TCGATCGTTGACTGTATATTGTTTTGAAAATGATATCTCCCTCAGATTTTATACGCAAAGACAATGTGGCAGTGAGTTTTAAGGGGGGAGCTGCAACAACATCCGAATAATTTCGAGCCTTACCTGCCGTTGTGCCTGCCATGGGGGCTTGTAAATTGCACGCTGTAGAATTTCCGTTTGAGGAGAATCACACTTAAAAGAAATGTCATCTATTTTACAAAATACATGGCCCCTATCAAAAACCACAGTAACTGACATGCAGATATGGTGGTAGCAGGGAAGTGGGCTTTTCATCAGGGTTCGAAACAAATCCTCTCATCGTACATTCCGCAAAACCGTAAGACACAGCACAAAATTGAAAAAAATGAAAACTGCTCACCACAACGACAGTAAAGAAAGAGGACTTTGCGCAGCGTTTCTAAAATGTCTGGTCATGTGTAGGAAAGCCTCGAAAGTAACTGGGAATGGTCAAATGGAGTACGGTGAGTGCACGTTTTACGGGTGGCTAAAACGACGCCCACTCAAAGCCAGCATTTTTGAGTGCTTGAGAGCGCACGGAAATTGCGTCTTTCATGCCCACCTTGATAATGCATTCTAACAGAGATATCGTCTCGGATTTTAAGCTACCATTTCAGGAGTTACGTCACGTACGCTATGCTTCTTGAGAGGAATAATTTCCTCCTAGCACAGGTCATTTCAACCACCACCGAAAAAGCCCATAAGTAAATGAAGGCGAGTAAGCCTCATGGCGATTATTTTGAGGCTGATGATGATAATGATGATGTAACGAAAGCAAACTTCGCGATTCGAAAATACTGAAGGAGGGGAAGGAAGTCAAGGCTGCAAGGCTTTCAAGAACCCTTCGAGAGTAACAAATTGCACAGTTCCGGCACCGCCTGAACTCCATTCAAATTAAAAGATCAGATTACTGGCTGTTTACTTCCAGAATCAATTTTTCATAACTGAGGTTTAACCAATTTGCACTCACGCTTCTTGGTCTGAGCAGGCAAAAGGTGCGTGTGTCCTTTCGTCACATGGAGCCAGGCGAGGTGTGAATATTTATGCGATGAGCTGAGCCAAAAACGAGTATTTAGGCTAATTGGCGAGGAGGTTGGCACTACTAGGATGGTTGTCTGGAGTACAAACTTCAGGTCACACCCAGGTCTGAGGTCGAAAGGCAAGGGCCGATTGACAACAGCAAAAATGCGCAAACCCATTATGCAAATCTGCGCTCCCACACTAAGTGCATGTGCGTTGAATTGAGAAATTCTGCTGTACAGGTAACAAAACCACAATTCTTTTCTTAAGACCTCGCCAGGTTCCGTGAAGGGCATTTCCAATGACATTCACTTTGTACGCACGCCGTCAGCTCCCAGCGGATGGGCGTAGCTTTTCGGAGGGGAACGGTACTTTGGGTCTCAGTAATTAGGAGAAAATCGATTGGGGAACTAGGAGAGCTACAAGCAGAATATGCGATCCAGATTTCACACATATTAATCCTCAAGCTCCTGCTCCGGGCATAGCAGCAGTTCGAACAATTATTTATGCGACTCTGTTGCGTGAGAAGACAGTTTTTTTCTTTGCTAAGATCCGGGTTACTGTCCGCGAAAAAAAAAGGCAAATGACAGATGGCGCGCTTTTAAAGAGAATGAGGCGGCTTCACCTCATTGAAACCAACGTAAATTACACTTTTACGAAACTTTAAGGGCACGAATATGTTTCAGCTAGGCAGCTATTACAAAAAGCCTTCGTTTGCAAGGCCTTATTGGACCGGAGGAGGGGGGGGAGGAAGGCTATAAAAGATCTCAAAAGGCCTTGTAAACACTACCTCTTCAAATAAGGTGCGGGTGGTACTGATTCAAGGAAAAACCGCCTTTATCCATAGGCCTTCCAGCACGGTTGTGGTGGCTGATTCATCTTACCCATTGGGGTCCACTGCGGCCTGGTGGATTGGTTTATAATGAAGGAAGCATGAACCGTCTTAAGCTGGTTTAAACTTCACATATACCTTATGTTACACTTGCAAAACAAAATTAAGAAAGGGTGATTCATATGACACGGAATAGAAACACTCCACCCAAGATGGTCCTGCGCCTAACTCCAGCAAAGGTAAACATTGTTCTGACCTAAATGTAATCCCGGCCCCATTATAAACCTAAACCATAGCCTTAATCCCAACACCAAAGCCTAACCAAACAGTTGAATTTTATACAGATCTTAACCATACATATAGTACTGACCGTAGCCCTTGCCCAAACCTTAACCCTAACTTTCTCCCTCATGAAAACCTTAAATCTGACCCTAATTTCCCTAGAATTGGCACAAGGCGGTTTCTTAGATCATACTGTCCTCGTCGGCATGTGTTTGTTTGTTCGTTGACGTTTCGGAAAGCTGGGCCGGCTGTCCTTTGTCAAAGCGTAAACTGACTTTATCGATCAGCAATTCAAAGTTATGGCTCTACGTGTTGGCAATGGGCTGATCGATTTTTCTACGTTTGCTGCTTGGCCCTCCGTGTAAGGTTTGGTATAACTTGAAGGCAGTTAGCATTGTGTTTCGTTCCCACGGTAGAGGATGCTGGTAAGCCTGCTCCCTATCCCAGTGGTTTCATCACGGGGCCGTCTTTGTTTGCAAATATGGTCTATGATACTAATCCCGGAAATCTGATTCTTGCAAACCTAAAGCGGTTTCTGTTCTCAAGTCATCCTAAGGGACCATAGGAGTGATCCTTGCAACAGTCCGAATAATCAGGTGTGTGTTGTGCCCCTAAAAAGGCCGCCCGATAGATGCGCTGGACCAAAATGGGGTTAAATCAGGGTTCGACAGGCGATGTTTAGGTTACTATCCCATAGCAAATGCCGAAAATGGGGCGGGATGTTGGTGGCACGTGGAGGTTCAGATTCGTTCGCCAGCCACCAATGGGCTTGATGGTACGTCCACTCCGCGGGATCTGTGTC